AACCTTGGAGGAATAGACACAGGTGGGAATGACCAGTGACATCAGGCCAGACCTTTCTAACCGGGCTGGGGTCCAGAACTGCCCAAGAAGTCTTCAGATGGGAAGCACTGGTTCCAATGTAGGTCCCATTTCCAAATCTCACTTATACCTCTTAAAAACCCAAGGCAAGTTTAAATCACAACCAGCAGTCTCCATAAACGAAAGTGCAAAAGCCACCTGAGCAGCCGTTACATCTGGGTAACTCACCCAGGAAGTTCCACACTGCTACTGCTTCGTGGAGGACGCAGGCAGGGCGAGATTGGCCTGGCTAGGAGAAACTAACAAATGATGATGCGCTGAAGTTCTTGGTGACTCCTTGTGGCGTGCTTCTTGCCCTTCCTTTGTGTTTTGAGGACGTTCTCCCCGGCTTCAGGATGCTGATGTAGGGATGTCACTCAACATGCCCATGACCATCTTGGATATAACTGCCATTTTGCCCTTAGCCCTAATGGCCATACCAAACTCTAAGGAATAAATAGTCTTTTAGATAACCCACTGTTCTTCTCTGAAGCTCATAGCTGCTCTCCAGGATACATCTTCCCTGGAATGTGTCTTACAAATGCTAGTATTTTCCAGATCAATGCAGGTGCACTCTGACTAGCCACAAGCCACCATTGTCAACAAAACCCTTTATCTCCTGCCTCTTGGCAACAAGGTCTACATGTCTCATGTACATCCAAGACTATCCTTCTTTCTGTAAGTTCTCTCCATACATTGCACGCCGCAATCCTGGATTTGCCCTCTTTCTGTGACATGGTGGCACCTTGTGCTTTGGGAAGCAGATTCTTGCACAACAGGTTTTTCCAAAAACAGCTGCCCAGACTCAATGACAAACACTCCATTGTGCCAAAAAAGAAGAGGACACACGTGTCTTGAAGCAAAACCCACTTGCTGTTCGCATGTGTGAAGCGCGGCATTGTTGGGAAAGCTCTGTCCTGAAATGATTCCCCCACCCAGCCCTCTTCTCCGTTGCTTTCCATTGTAATTTTCTGCTTGCTCTAGATTGGGGCAGAGAGAGGCAGAGAATGGAAGAAGAAACTGCGAACAAAAGTGGGGACTTCCGATACACCTGGCTTCACTGTCTCATCTGTCTGTAGAGAAGGATACGTCACGATTTGGTGCACATGCCATCTCCCCCACCTGTGACTCCAAGGGCAGTTTACTATCTGGATAAATCTTGGCCATTCAGTGGCTTGGCTGGGGCTCTCACCATCACACCATCTCACTCCTGGCTCCCTCGCTTGCAGGCCTTCCCTGCACTTGTCTGAGTTTTCTGGTAAATCCCTCATCAGCTGGCCTCGCTCTTTGGGTGGGAGGCAATGGGAGTCCTTAACATCACCAAAGCTTCTAAGATGCCTTGCCAACTCCTTCAGAAGGTTCTAGTCATCCTTATGCTCTTATATGTCAGCACCAATGTCTCTGCCAAGGGTACCTTCTCTGGGTTGGCAGACAGCTTTGTCCCTCTCTGTTTGAAAGTCTTTGTCCCAGAGTAATAATATCTATCGCAAAGTCCTTGGCCAAATGTGTTCCCAGGGGACCCAAGGATTCTCATGTAAATTAGAGTCTTCTGTGGCCGTCCTGGCCAGCCACCTTCTCTCCACTGTCACGTTGAAGGTCAGTGGAGAAGGGAAGGGTTTGGATAAACTACTTCATCTCCCATCCTCTGCTCCCTGACTTCAGACTAACACAGTCCCTGACTGAGACCAACACAGTCAAGTGTGTGTGTGCGTGTGTCTACAAACAAGTGCACATGTGTGCATGTCTGGCAAGAAAGGAGAGAGACTTCTGGTTGTCCTCCTAGGGGTTGTGACAGGATACCAAGTGGGTTCTCTTTACACCTGATCTCCCCACAGCGCAGCTGCGAGACTCAGCCTGGTGGCCGGCATCAGCATCAACAGCAGCTCAGGTCGTCCCCCGTGGGCTCAGAGGGTTCAGCCCCTGCCTGGGACACCTCATCCCCTGTTGGAGCACAGGTTCAAGTCCCAGCTGCCTTGCTCCCAACCCAGCTCCCTGCTAATGCACTTGGGAAGGTAGTAGAATAGATCGCTCAAATGCTTGGGTTTTTGCCATCCCCACAGCAGACCCAGAAGAACTTCCTGGTTTCCAGCTTCTGCCTGGTCCAGGTAGGACTCTGAGGGAGTCAGTGGATGGACGGTATCTCTTGTCACTGTCTCCCCATTCTGCCTTTCCAATATTTACAATAAATATTTTAAAAAGAGAAATAATGTATTCAACAACAACAACAACAACAACAACAAAGAAGCAGGAGAAGCTTGTCTTTGGTCTCAACTTGACCTTGCACACAGCAAATACACTGTTACCGATGGAATGACTGGACAGGACTGGAAATCTGGGAATCAAATTTCTAAACTTAAACTTAACTGATTTACTACTTTTACAAAAATGTGTTCTTGATGAAAATAAAGAGAATGCAGCTATTGATCTCAATGTCCAAGTTTAAGCCAAGTACATTTCCGGACTGCGGAAGCTGCAATTGCCATGATATGTTGTTAGTGAAACCCAAGCTTGGATGGACGGGAAATGGGATCCCTTGACTTACTGTAAAGTAGCACATAGAAGCGGAGCTCATGATGAGTGTGGGATAGAGTGATATTTGTGGACCTATAAAAACATTGTATATTCTTAAATAATATTTAATAAATAATATTTCCACTAAGATATAATATATAAGGAATACTTTCAAAAGTTCATAGATTAAAAAATTGGGTTTGGGGGCAGGCATTTGGCACAGTGATTAAGATACTGTTTGGGGAGGCCAATGGGGTGGCTTATGAGGTTAATCCTCTGCCTGTGGTGCCAGTTTCCCATACGGATGCCGGTTCGAGTCCCAGCTGCTCCACTTCTGACCCAAATTCCTGTATATGGTCTGGGAAAGCAGCAGAACGTGGTTCAAGTCCTTGGAACTTGCACCCATGTTGGGAAACCTGGAAGAAAATCCTGGCTACTGGCTTCAGATCAACCCAGCTCTGGCTGTTGTGGCCATTTGGGGAGCGAGTCAGTAGATGGAAGATCTCCCTCTTCTGTCTCTCTCTCCCCCACCCTTCTCTTTCTAATTCTTTCAAGTAAAATAAAATAAATCAAAAATAATATTCTTTTGGGGTTTCTGCATCTTGTGCTGGAGCGCCTTGGACTTGAGTACATGGAACTTTGCTCTTGATTCTGGATTCCTACCGATGCGCACCCAGGAGGCAGCAGGTGTCTGAGGAACTTAGGTTTGTACCACTCACATGGAGTCCTGGATTGAGCTCCCAGCTCCCCATTTCGGACAGGCCTAGCCCCAGGCAGTGGGGGAATATGAGGACTGAGCCAACCCATGGGAAACCCCTCTCCCTTTGCCTTTCAGTGATTTTTTTAAAACTTAAATTTATTGGTCAGGCGTGGTAGCCTAGCGGCTGAGGTCCTCACCTTGCATGCACTGGGATCCCATATCGGTGCTGGTTCACATCCTGGCTGTTCCATTTGCTATCCAGCTCCCTGCCTGTGGCCTGGGAAAGCAGTCGAGGACAGCCCAAAGCCTTGGCAACCTGCACCCACGTGGGAGACCCAGAAGAAACTACAGGCTCCTGGCTTCACATCGGCACAGCCTGGCCATTGCGGTTGCTTGGGGAATGACCCAGCCCACAGAAGATCTTTCTCTTTGTCTCTCCTTTTCTCTCTGTATATCAGCCTTTCTAATACAAATAATTAAAATTTAAAATTATTTAAAAAATTTATTTTGGTGCAAAACAGTCTGAAACTCATGTGTAGTTTGTCTTTACATGTTCCAGTCACAAGATCCCTCGACTATACCTACTTCTTAGAATCACTTTTATTTTTATTTTTTTTTTTTTGCTGGTGATCCCTCAGTCAGTTCCTGAAGCCAGAGGCCACAGGTGCAGGGTTAGCTGTCACTCGCCACGTCAGAACGCAGAAGAACTCCACACACAGCCTGGGCCCCTCCCAAGCAGGAAGTTGTCTCCAGACCGGGTGGGTCAGAGTCTCCACAGAGACCTCTGCCAGGCTGTTCCTGCCCTAGAGGGGAAGGATCGGCAGGACATCCCTGGTGCAAGTTCCCTGATGGGGCTGGGTGGTGGTGGTGGTGGGGGGGGGACAAAGCCAGTGTCCCGCTGAGCGGCAGAGGGCAGAACAGGCCCTGGGACTCTGACCCACCTGTGGAATGGGCCTGACAGTCTACACTAGTTTTCAATGCCTCCGTTATGGCTGAATGCTGCTGCCCACTGGCTCTTTGGTTTCACTCCTGGGTGGCTGGAGTCTAGGCTAAGTGCCACTGCTGTCCCCAGGGCCCAAGCAGCTCTACCTACGCCCACGGAGCTGCTGCGCTGGCATGTGAGGGCTGCAGGTGGTAACTAGAATCAGAACCGCAGAGACCAGGGATGCAACACTGCCCCGGAGACCAACCGACTCCGTGCCTGCTGCGCTGCGAGAGCAGATGTTGCAGAATGCGTGAAGTGCGGGGACACATGGTCAGAGGTGTTCGCAGGGTTGAACTGCTTTGTCCTTTTTAGCGGGTGGGGTGGGGTGGGCTATGAGAAGAGGGCATTTCAGGACCCCAGCAGGTAAGAGCCGCCCCGGAGGAGGAGGAGGACTGGGAAAGTGGGTGCGCCGGAGAGAGGCTCAGTAGGATTTGGAATCGGGCCCCGAGGAGGATTCCTCTTTGTGCAGCCAGCTCCAGGCCCTGCCGCCTGCCGCCTGCCGCCTGCTCTGGCCGCGCACGCCCGAGCCAGCTCTGCAGCGGCCGGCCCCGCGGCGTGGAAGTGGGTTAAGGGGATTATATAAGCGCCGGGCGGGAGGGGAGCCGGTGGCTCCTGCGTGTGTGCTCGGGTTGCAGCAGCGGCGGCAGCGGCAGTGCAGCAGCGCGGCTCGGTTGATTTAGAGCGCGGATGACAGTGGCCTGGCGCGAGCCCACGGCTGACGACAGCGGCTTATCCCGCTCGGTTGCCATGGAGACGAGCAGGAGCAGCGGCGGCGGCGGGGCTGTCAGCGCGCGCGTTGGGCACCGCGCGTCCGCGGGGGGCTGCAGGAGGAAGGAGGCGGCCGGGGCCGGGACCCTCTCGGCAGACATGGACTTGCATTGTGACTGTGCCGCCGAAACGCCGGCCTCGGAGCAGCCGTCGGGCAAGATTAATAAAGCCGCCTTCAAATTATTCAAGAAGAGGAAATCGGGTGGCACCATGCCCAGCTTTTTTGGGGTCAAAAACAAAGGGGATGGGAAGAGCTCGGGTCCCGCGGGCATGGTGCGGAGCAGGACGCACGACGGCTTAGCCGAGGTGGTGGTGCTGGAGGGCGGCAGGAAGGAGGAGCCGCGCGGCGGTGGCGGTGGCGGTGGCGGTGGCGGTGGCGGTGGCGGTGGCGGGGCTCGGCCCAACCCGGCGCCCCTGAGAGCGGCCGGGGGCGGCGGCAGCAGCAGCGGCGGCGGCGGCTCCCTGGCCCCCAGCAGCTCGGTGGCCAAGTCGCACAGCTTCTTCTCCCTTCTGAGGAAGAACGGGAGATCGGAGCCCGGCCGCGGGGAACCGGCCGAGGCGAGCCAGGCTGGCTGCAAACAAAAGAAGGGGCTGAGAGGGCTCTTCAGCAGCATGCGCTGGCCCAGGAAGGACAAGCGCGGCAAGGAGGAGGAGGAGAAGAAGGGCGCGCGCGCGGCCGGCGCCGGCGGCCTCATCCTGCCCGGCTCGCTCACCGCCAGCCTGGAGTGCGTCAAGGAGGCAACGCCCGGGGCGGCGGCGGCGGCAGCCGCGGTGCGCGAGCCTCTGCAGAGTCCGGGCCCGGACGCCCCGCGGGACGCAGCAGGTGAGCTCGGAGGGGGAGGAGAGGCGGCCGCCGGAGCCCAGGGCGCCCCGGCGCGCACCTGCCGCGAGGCCCCGAGCCCCGCGCGGGGAGAGCAGCCCGGGGCGCCCGTCTCACCGGGGCCCGGCGAGCTGCACGCGGCCGAGGACGCATCGAGGACAGGTGACGTTCCGCTCCCGACGGCCCCGCTGGCGGACTCCGAGTGTGGCCGCGGCCCTGCGCGCGCCGTCCCCGGCCCTTCCTCCTCCTCCTCCGCCGCCGCCGACCCGCCCGCAGACCCGTCGGCCGAGCGTATTTGTCTCATGTTTTCTGACGTGACTTCACTGAAAAGCTTTGACTCTTTTACAGGCTGTGGAGATATAATTGCAGACCGGGACGACGAGGCGGGGGCCAGCTGCGACAGGCATGGCCCCGGGCCTGGCAAGCCAGTGGCCTCTAAAAAGACCCCCGGCGTGGTGGCATACCAAGGTGGAGGGGAGGAGATGGCCAGCCCGGACGAGGCGGACGACACCTGCCTGCAGGATTTCTGGGACATGCTGTCCCAGACGGAGGAGCAAGGACAGGGGCCGGCCGAGGTGGAGGCGACGACAGCGGCCGCGCCGGAGGTGACGCCGGGGCGCTCAGACACCTGCCCAGACGCCGCCGTGGGCACGGAAGCTGCCAAGGATGTGTCTTCAGTCAAGCGCAGGAGGCTCAACCGGATGCCCGCCGAACCCCACCCGAAGGAGGAACCCAGGCGCCCGGAGAAGGAGCGGCAACTGGAAGGGGGAGTTCCCAATGGGGACCAGGGCTCCTGGGACCCCACAACTCCCGGCCCCGAAGGAGGCAGCGCGGGCGGCGGGCCTAAGGCGGCCGTCCCCAGGAACAGCGGGGTAGGCGACGCCGACGCCAGCCCAGCAGCCCTGCCCGCCGGCGAGGAGACGACCTGCACCTCCCGCCTGAAGCCGGTGTCCCCAGGCGCCATCACCTGTCCACTGCGGACGCCTGGCAGTCTGCTCAAGGACTCCAAGATCCCCATCAGCATCAAGCATCTCACGAACCTCCCGGCCAGCCATCCAGCCGTGCACCAGCCGCCGGCCAGGAGCGAGGTGCCCAGAACAAAAATCCCGGTCTCCAAAGTGCTGGTCCGCAGGGTCAGCAGTCGCGGCTTAGCTGGGACCACTCTGCGCGCAGCGGCCGCGTGCCACGACAGTGCCAAAAAGTTGTGAGGCCCACGAGGCCCAGGCGGACGTGGGTGTGTGGTGGTGGTGGTGGTGGTGGTGGTGGTGGTGGGGTTGGGGACAGGACCCGAGTCAAAGAGGACCGCTTCCACCTGCATGGAACGCCTGCAGGAAGTCGGGCTTCCCCTGAAGAAGGTCGTGGGGGGGCTGCTCCTGAGCTGCGACCCCCGGGGGTTCCTGTGTCAGAGCAGGGGCAAGGGGCGCCACAGAGGGAGAGCTGCGCCTGCACTTCTCCTAATTCTCCTCTCAAGATAAGTCCCTGAGAATTATTTTCAAGCATTTTTTTTCTTTTTAGAAATATGTTTCCTTTCTTTCTTTCTTTTCCTCTTTTTTTTTTTTTTTTTTAATGCACTGACCACTCCGAAATCACCTTTACCTGCCTTTACACTAAGTCATGCCAGGCTCGTGGGGGCGTCCCAGAAGCAAGGGGCCTGGAGGAAGGCTGTGCGGAGGGCCCCTCTTCAAGGACTCCTCCCCTTTCCTAACCTCTCCCTCCCTCCCTCCTCCCCTCCCTCCTCCCCTCCCTCCTCCCCTCCTCCTCCCTCCCTCCTTCCCTCTCTCCTTCCCTCTCTCCTTCCCTCCCTCCCTCTTTCCTTCCCCTGTTCCATCCCTGTGAAGTATCCCCCATAGTACCGAGGAGCCAGGTGCTGTACCCGGCGAGCAGAGGGCATGTTGTGGACCAGAGAGAGCTTCCCTGCGTTCAGTTGCTGGGTGTGTGGCCGGAAGTAGGCCAGAGAAGGGGAACTGGGCTTAGCTTGGCTGAGCTTGGGGAGAGGGAAAGGCCCCGGCGAGCAGGCGAGCAGAGTTTTGTTTTTTCTATTCCCCACCCGGTGCAGAAATCAGGATCAGGGAACGCTGTCACTCCATGCCAACAGATGGATTTATATGCTGTAACCTTCTCATGTGTACATAATGCATATTTTGCAGTTTATCCCACTGTTAACATTTTATAATCTGTTGACAACCTAGCATTTTAAATCTGGCCTTCCAGCTAGATTTGATAACTATCCCAAACCATTGATGCTGATTTTGTTTTATATGGGTTCTCTCTCTTTTTTCTGTCTGTCGAAAGTTCTGCTGTATTGATGTCCCAGAGGAATGGCTCTGCTGTGCCTTGGGTAAGAGCCTGTTTGCTTCTGACTCCAAACTGTAGTTTTTCAGTGGTTTTAAGCTTGGTTATACAATCTTGGGTTCAACCATGCCTCAGTACTGGAATCCACCATGAGGAGCACTTAACATTAAAAACTAGAGTTTTGCGTATCACTTGACTGGCTTTCTCTTCTTAGACAGCTATGGGACATTGACCAACTTACATACGGGAAACATTGTGTGCTCAAAACTGTTTGAAAAGTTGGTTCCTGCTCTGTATGTTTTCTGGTGTATCAGAGGATGCATTCATTTCAGAAAGGGCTGTTACACACCTCGGTGGTTGGAATTATAAGTAAACAGGAGCAGTTCCTAGAAGGCGGTTAGCATCTAATGATTAAATTAGCATCATCCTGGAGACTTGCCTTCAAAAGGCTCAGGCTTCGACTGAGAGTTGATTCATCGTCTCAGGAAGATGGTACATGTTCGGGTGGACGTGCACAGGTATCGATGACAGGGACAAGTCTGCTGGAGTCACCAAGTGTTACCTTGCTCTTAAATTCGTTTTCTGTTTTGTAATAGGAAAGAGAGGGCAAGTTAAATCTGTGAAAACTTGTTTTAGTAGCAGGAAGGAAGTAACAAGACAAATTGTCAGAGGGGGGAAAAAATGTGAGCCAGTGGCATAAAGCAGGTGGTTCTTGATTTTAAATGCGCAGTGATTCCATCAGAAGAGGTGGCCGAGGTTACTGGATTGGCTTTATAAGTCAGATTAATGGCTTTTATTGCATTGCCTCAGATCCTTAATGTTATTTCAGAGCAAGGTTTTAATATTTAATTTCCTTATGCGTCTAGCTGTGGTCCTTTACACAGACGTAGCCTTAAGCGTTCTGAGCACATTACCAGAAATTCACACAGGCGTGTCACTCTCACGTGGGTTCAGACACTCAATGCTGTCGCACCAACAGACGGAAGACGGCTACTATAGATTTGAGAAATATTTTAGAAATTATTCCCTTCTCGAGTAAGTGATTTACTGCCAATAGTACTATTTAGGCTCAAAACACATACATTTTTCCCTGGTGAGTGGCGAGAACATAAATTTTATTCCTGACTGTAGAACAAAGGAATATTATTTATTCCTCTTGCATTTTCCTGGGTTATATTTTCCTCTGTGCAACTCAGTGACCAAGTTGTGTTCGTTCCTTTGTTCAGCTGTACAGAAAAGTTAAACAGAGGAATTGAGGAACCGGTGAAGATATTCCAATAGCGCAGGCAACCTGAAACACTACAAGAAATTATTTTTTCATTGGGATTGATTTCTGTGTTTATCACACCACTGTGCTTTGTCTTGTCCAGGAGGAAATGTTTCTGACATTTGCTGTCATTTTCCCTGGGCTGTCACTTAACCAATGGTGAGAGATAGAAAACATTGTCTTTTTAACCCGTGTGCTTTTGGGAATTGCACAGAGGAAGGACTTAGTGTGCTGGGGAGTCGCCCTGGGCAGGCTGGGTAGAAGGTGAGCAGTTCCCAGCTCTGGAAGAGGGACGGAGGGGCTTTCACGTGCCAAGGGCTGGTGTCTCTCCCTTGTATCCACGCGGATGATGCTTTAGAATCTTAGTGGATTTACGTTCTGATTCCTATCGATGCGTGGTGAGATGATTTTGCAAGGATTCGAAGGGCCCATAACTGCTAATATTTAGTGGATGGGTTGGATATGACCTGATGATAGCTGTCTCATGTCTGTACAGTTCTGTTATTTCATGGAGTAGCCCCATTTAGTCCAAAGTAGGAAAAAGCCAAATCATCCATTCCTGAACTGAAGTGTATCTATCTCTGCACAGACACCCTGACTATAATCTATAGTGCACCTGTTACCGTCAATGCTTTTATTCTCCCATCGGAACCAGCTGAGAGTTTAGTGACAGCATTTTCAATAACGACATCAGGAAATGTATTTTTAGTATTTTACCTAGTAACAACAATGGGATGTAGGCCGTTAAGAATTTCCTTTTGATATGCTTGCCACAAAATGTCTGCCTATTTAAGTACTTTGCTTAACCTCTGTGAGGGTGATGACTTACTGAGCTTAAAGGATGTATTTTAGTAGCCTCAGAAGTAGCCTGTAAGGGTTTACATTTAAATGAATATGCAAATAGGCTTTTGCTGAGCACAACTGTCCAGGCAAAAAGATTTTATCAGGTATCAAGATCTCTTTCAGCTTTGTCAGGAGTTCTCGTTCCTTCCATCTTTGTTAGCTTCTTTTGCTTTCTGTGGTCAGCTCCGTGGCTTTCGCCATGTTTGTCTAGACACTCTGACAGCGGGAATGGGACGCTCCGTGTGATGTGAGCATGTCCCTAGCATCCGCACAGTACAACTCCCTCGCTGCTTTTAGCCATTCTGAATGACAGCTGTCCTGTGCGGTGGTGTGGCTGTGGCACATTGCAGAACACTCTCGCGTATTCATACTTGGCCCACTTTATCCTGGGCGAGACATGGATCCAAGGATTTTAGAGGAAAAACCCAAAGTCCTCAACTCACTTAACATTCCTTTCCCTTCCCACGCAGGCCTTTGTTGTGTCCACTTGGCCTTAGAAGTTGCCACGCCATTGCATAAGCCATGTCTGTGGAGCCTGTGGGGCTTGAGGGGCCTGAGGAGGGCAGAGCGGGCAGGTGGGGAAGCATGAGGAGGCTAGAGGTGACCTCACACCGGCAGTGTGATCGGAGGGTGGCTCCTGCGTGGGCTTTGGCTGGTGGCCTTGTTCTGCTCTGTAGCTTTCCTCGGGGCTGTTGTGGAGGGCTTCCCAGAAAGCTCTCTGCTGTGGCGTCTGTTTCAAGGAGGCAGAGGCTGATGAGCAGGGCTGATGAGAACGTGAGTCTCCTGCTGATGGAGAAGGGGTCCTTCTCAAAGGGAACCCAGCGCATTGCCGGGGTCACAGAGCCTCCAGGGCGGAGACTGGCTCTCTGTGGTGATGCGTATTGACCTGGACACAAGGCATTGCATATCTGTGAGGGTGTGTCCTGCATCTAATGCCTACTGAAAAGCCATTTCGTTTGGAACTCCTGCACAGCTGTGCTGTAACTGGATTTTCTGAATATTAATTCAAGTTATCTTTATTTCCACTGTTTTGTTGTTATTTACTTTGTGACTTACAGTTTGTGTAGTGAAATTGAAGGAGGGTTGTATGAATTAAACCAAAGTCCTTGGAGCAAAATAGTAGCCATTATAATAATGATCAGTGTTTGTTGAATACTTACTATGTGCCAGCCTCTGCTAGGAAATTTACAAATATTGACTCTTAGGAGCACCTAGGGCAGAACACAGTATCTCCCTGGTGCGACATCTTACTCAGCCTCTTGGTTCGTTTGGTCCATTTCTGATCTCTGTATTTCTTGCCCTTTCTTTCTCCCCCTAATCACCAAGACAGGGATACGAACTCCCTGGAGATCTGGAGCTTCAAAGTCTTCATGGAAAAAAGGAATAAGTTTATTCTGGTGCAAAAAAAAAAAAAAATTGAAATCCTTGCCAATGAGAGGTCTTCCAAGAGTTCATGGAAAATGTCTATCATAAAACAAAAATAGAAACAAATTTACTTATGGATTTCCTTTTTTTTTTTTTTTGGCACCATATTAGACTTGCCATTTGCACAAATCGTTGCCGAAGTACCTGTGTGGAACAGCCGACTGCTTAGCATCATTAATAGTTTGGCTGTGCAGAACATCCTGATCCACCTCCACACGGCTGAAATTGGGTTTGTGCCTGAGCCGACGGGCTTAGACTCAATTCTGAAGAAAGCAGCTGCTTTGTTCAGTTGGTACTCAAGCAAGTGGTCTCCCTTCCAGCTCTCCCCTCCTTTGAGGGATAAGCTTGAAAGGTGCGGAAGAAATCTCCATTGTTGTCCTG